AGCTAATATTGCTCTTTGTTTTACTTTTATTAGCAAGAGCTCTGCCACTGCTGTTTTTGTCCCCTAATTATTTATTGTATACTTTGTCTCGGATTACCAGTGTTTATTTTCTGTAATTTGCATTTGGTTTTATTTATTGTTTTTAATAATTTCTTTTGGGTCTTATTGGGTTAGTTAAGTTGTTAGTTCTGTGTTAAGGTAACAGTGGCCTGAGTCTGTTTCAACATTTGCCAAACCAACTGTATAGTGCCATTCTTGAAATCGGGGGTTTCTTGCTAGTAGTAGGCTGGTTGGGTTGCTAGGCCCCACGGGTGGTGGGTGATTGGGTGGAGGGCTCACCTCTTCCTTCAACTCGTCTTGCATGCCTTCCATTGTGCCTCTAACCCGTGTGCCATCTTTCTAACAGTGACCATTGTTACTGCATGCCATTTTGTTGTGCCCTGCTAATCATGTGTGTTTTTGTCTTGCAGTGTTACGTCGCATGACACACAGGTGGTGGTGGTGAATAGGGGTGGGAATCTTTGGGCACCTCACGATTCGATTACGATTACGATTCAGGGGCTATGATTCGATTATAAAACAATTATTGATGCATCTTTAATTTATGTATATTGATGCACTTTTTCACAACACACATTTCTTTTTGTCTCACTGAATAAGCATTCAACACTTGCAATTTTTAAAAACAGTGCATTTGTAATAAGAAAGAGTTGAATTCATTTCCATTATATTTTATTAAACATATAAATGGAAATGCTTGCAAACTGGAAAGTTACAACTTCGTTGTACGGAACCAAAGGTAACAACAGGTATCTTAAATCACAAGATAAAATGCGCAGTTTGAGTAACAAATGATTCGGTGGCGACAGACGTCCACGCATCACATGTAACCGCGTTCCTGCCTGCCTGCCTTCAACAGTGAGGCCATGACTTCTGTTTTGGTTTGATGGTAGAGTGTCGGTGAAATAGCGTCGGGATGGGATGGTGTATCTGGGCTCCAGTGTATGCAGCAGTGCTCGAAATCCCTGATTTTCCACGACAGAATAAGGACGCAAATCCTTGGCAATAAATGCTGCGACAGCCTTCGTAATTCGCTTCGCCTTTTCCGATGAGGGTGGCAGCTTTCTAATTGCTTCCTCGATTGTTCTCTGGTCGGTAGCGCCACTAGTTGCGGCAGCAACAACATCCTGCCATCTCCTCCGTCAGGTGGAATCGAGTTACATGGCTTCTCATGTTTGTTGTGTTGCCAAAGTATTTTATTTTAGCACGACACAGCTTACATATAACGTGGCTCTTGTCCAGTTCGCTTCCGCCGTCAACGTTGTAGAAGCCGAAGTATTTCCACACATCTGCTTTTAAATTAGAAGAAGCTGTTCAGCTCTCACGGCGAGGTGGGTAGCGGTCAGCCATGTTTGTTTTCCTCTGTGCGCGTGTCAGCGTGTCTGCTCCAGGTGCGCATCCCAAAGTGTCCTGGAGATGACACGTACCGCGCTTCTTAGTTCCGCATTATTTAGAACCTTCTGTATTACTCTAATTAACAGATTTAAATAATCGAAATTTGAACGTTTGTGAATCGATTCAGATTCGTCCACGTCCGAATCGCGATGCATCTAAGAATCGGAAATTTCCCCCACCCCTAGTGGTGAAGCACCCTTCCCTCTCCCCTCACTTCCCCCAAACTGTGGTTTCCTGGGCACCCTTCCCCCCTGTGCTGGTAATGAACTTCCCGTAATCAATTTAGGATTTTTAACGTCTATTTTGTAATAAAGAAAATTTTTTTTTTTTAAATAACGGTCTCTTCCTTTTTAACAGGATATAACAGTTAAATTAATTGTTTTCTTAATAAATTTTTTCGCGCATTGGACTTGAAACGCACGTCTCTGCTCCTCCTTCTTTATCTAAGAACTTGTGTGTGTGAATATATATATATTGAGGGTATACTCTCTGGGTGAAATTCCCAGAGTGGCGTTGTCGGGTTCATGTAGTCTGGGGTTGGGGCAGACCCCCCAATATATATATGAACAAGTTATGGCATGAGATGTTTAATGCTTCATAAACAGTGGTAACTTAGATGGTGATCTCCTTCCTTTCTCGGTCATGTTGATCTTTTTCTTTCCTAATCTGACTTTGAGTTTGTGAATGGTGTGTAAATATTGCCGCCGCAATGACTTGTGGGATGGAATTATCTCCTTTCCTATGGCGTAGGAAGGTCTGATGTATCCTATGCTAAAGGAGATCTGAAAGGAAGCATTGAACCTCCTTTCCTTAATGTTTAGAGAATTCCATCAGCTCTTATCATGGCGGCCACTAAAATACTTCCGGGTCATTTCACTCAGCTAGGAACCTTCCTAAGCAAAAAAGACTTTCCGACCGCAGCCCAAGTGAACAGATTAGGCAGCTTTTATAGCTTGGAAGCCCAGGTGAGCCTAATCATGGTAACGACCCTCCCATGTCAGCCAGCTGCCTGATGAGACTGGCTGAAACATTCTCAAAGACAGTGGGAGGGGCGTCACAGTAGCACAATAAAATATATTTGAAGACAAATACAATTTAGAGAGGAAATATGGCCTAACTCAAAATATAATCAAAGTATAGAGCAACTATCATTATTTATTCAAGTTGTCTACAGGACATGCAAAAAAAAAAAAAAACGAACCCGCCAAACCCTAATCCTGCCGACGGCACCAAAGTGGCTAGAGCCGGCTCTGAGGCAGCAACGTCATATTTAACTGAGCTAATATCTAACTCAGACTGGCTCGCAAAAAATCAGGACTGGAAGCACTCTAACTTCACATTGCTAGATAAAATGGTTTAGACAATTTAAAACTAACAGGCTGTGCATGGTTAGCATTACCTGTATGTACAGTATGCACAGTGTCCCAGCCTAATCTGTTGTTTTATCTTTTAACATTGCATAAATCTACTAATTCACTAGGGGATAATCCACAAACAAGCTTTAATGCACGTTAATTTACAGAAGTTGTGCTGATAATGTAAAATTTGAGTCTTTAGACGTCTAAAAGTGCATCACAGCCGCTCTTTTCTGCTGTAACTTCATTGGCTTCGAGCATGTGCCGCTTACTTCCAGGAACTATTGAGAGGCTCCGCCATCACTGTGAAACAAAGGGTCCATTGGAGTGAACGGAGATGATGCGACTCTCTATTCAAGGGCTCTGGTGTGTGAGGAAGATGAAGACCTGTGGTGATGATGATGATGATGATGATGACTCTTACCTGTTGAGGTGTCAGCAGTCACAGCAGCTCTGAGCTCAGTCTGTCCAGTTAAGTTTCACTTTCTCTGAAATCATGTGACCACAGCAGCCAATCAGCAGCAGCACTGTATCGTGACGTCTGTCGACCAATCAGAAAGGACCTGTTGCAGCTCGTCACAGCAGCCTGCGTCATCACAAATACGAACCCTTGCAGAGACACACAGAGACAGTGTCACAGCTGCTGTGGCGTCTGAACCACATCTGTTCTGAATCCAGCTGTTAGAGATGTGATGACATCACACCTCTTCACGCCGCCTCAGAAAAGATGTCACCGATGACTTCTGTCCCACAAACACTCTGAGCTGTGAGTGCGAACATGGCAGGACGTCCTGAGGTCGTCTGTCTGTCTGTCCCACAGGCTGAACCCTAAAGAGGACAGAGTGTCTGCTGTCAGGGCCCCGAGGCCGTGGACCAATCAGGTCGGCCGAGTCAGTGACGTCTTTGAGTCTCGTCTGTTTTAATGATCCACACGTGAAGAACTTTAATAAAGTTTGATATGTTCCACAGATGACACATGACCCTCCTGTATGATGCTGAGGTCCCGCCCACACAGCATCATGACATCATCAGATCCTCTGAAACACTTTAAACGTGTTTATCATCGTTATGTTTTTTTAATCTCAGTGATGTCACTTCCTGTCTCTGAGCAGAGGTCATTAGCGGTGTCTCACGACAGGGCTGCAGCCTTTGACGCCTGCGTCTGAAGACCGACACCGAGGCCGTCCCACGTCAAAGGCTCCTTCAGATGCAGCCTTGTGTCCCAGACTCTGGAGGATGTAACCGATAAATCCTTCGTGGCCCAGCCTATCCCAAGATGCATTGCACACCGGTGACCATAATATATTAAGTGCAGTTAACTGGCTGACCATTAACTGTTGCTAACGTTACGTTACAGTTCAAACAATCTGAATTTAATATGGTTACCTGAAAACACTGCGTCAGCCTGAAATACATCAGACAGTGGTGAATCATCTTCAACATATTTAATACCAACCTGTGGGTCCATGATTCAGCGCTAGCTTACTCCTTCTTTCCTCACACACAGCTGGTTGCTAGGTAACAGGACTGCCAACAGGTCGTAGGGGCGAGAACAACTGATGATGCAACCAGGAAATGCTCCACAGACCAGACTGTCCCATTTTGGAGACCGTTCAGTTTGACTGGTGCGTCTTCAGAGGACGCGGCCGCCATCGACCGTGAGGGCCGCGTCCTTCAGAGGCTGCAGCGCCTGAACTGAGACACGGTTACAGACTCGTGACCAGCAGTGATTCGGACGGAGAATCTGTGACTGTGGTGATGTCAGTGACACGTTTCTGTTGACGACTTTATTTCAGAGCCGCCGCCCGTCGTCTGTCCACTGAAAATGTTTTGTTCTTATGAACCAGAAAAATCAACTTTTATAATAATTACAAAAAATATCTGATGAAATGAACTGTTTTTGTTTGTTGTTTTTTAAAGAATCCTAAACACATATCAGTCAATAAGTTATTTACCTTCAGTTTTTTCTTTTCATCTCTCACGTGTTGTTTCTTTTATACTCGATGTTTTTACACATCGTACTGTTGAATAGTTGTTTTTATTTATTTGTGAGCACTGATTGGACCAAAGCGACGTCTGCTCCGACGTCACAAAGACGCTCTCGACTGTATAAAACAAAAACCAGACAGAAAATTAAACAATAATTTATTTTGTATTAAAACTTTAAATCTGCCCCAAAAACAAACTACAAACATTCACGAAATAAAAAAGAAACCTTTTCCAAAAATAATTTTAAATACTTCATGTTTCATCAAAAAATCTGTTCACAGAAAATACAGAATTTCAGAATTAAAATAATAATAATGATATATCCAGTAGATTTCATAGTTTCCCAACTTTTCACAGCAAATTCAGAAAATTACAACAAAAAAATCATTTAAACAGCATGTTTGAACATTTAAACAGCGTGTTTGAACATTTAAACAGCATGTTTGAACATTTAAACAGCATGTTTGAACATTTAAACAGCGTGTTTGAACATTTAAACAGTGTGTTTGAACATTTAAACAGCATGTTTAAACATTTAAACAGAATGTTTGAACATTTAAACAGCATGTTTGAACATTTAAACAGCGTGTTTGAACATCAGTGTTACCCATAATTCCACGTTCATCTGAAACAAACACACACACACACACACACACACACACACACACACACACATTTAAAAACATTCAGTGACTCGGTCCCTTTTTGTTGCCGTAGTAACGTAAGTTAAATTTCAGTGTTCCTCTCTTCATTCAAATCAAACATGTATTTCTATCTTTGACCTTCACATTTGACCTTTGACCTTCACATTGACCCTTTAGCTTACAGAAGAATATTTTCATATTGTAAATATTGTCACATTTTGTTGACCTTTAATGTGTCAATCTGACCGACCAATCACAGAGAAGATTAAACTGCTTCATTCAGACACTTTTAGTTTTTGTTTTATCATTTTAAAGATTTGATTTTTGTGTTTTGCTTTTTTCCCACAGTGACGCCGGCACCGTGTCCATCTGTATATTTTCATCTTGAACTTCTCATCTCTGCAGAGCTTCACAGCTGATTGAATTTTTTTCTTTTCATTTCAAACTGACTTTTAGTTTCAATTTTTAGTTTTATTTTGAAGTTCTGTTTGATTTATTTTGGTGAGATTTTAATGTTGATCCAACGATCTGCCTTATATTTGACATCACACTTCCTGTACGTAGTTTCTGATTGGCGGCTCGTGGTGTCACAGATCCAACACTGGAACAGTTCTCAGGTTGAATTTGAACTTTTCAGTTGAGCTCCACGCGGAAAGCGCTGATTTCCATTGGTCGAAGGTGAGTGATGTGTGGCGGCTGCTGTTGCCGGGCGGATTCAGGTTCATCGTCTTCTTGCAGCAGAGTGAGACCTGACCGGCGGACGGAACCAAACTGAAGAGGAGAGAAAAGATCGTCCAGATTCACCTGCAGAAAAAGAAACAGGAAAACAGCTCAGAGACCTGGGCCTTATTTCAGGCTCAGGCTCAACAAACTCTGAGCTGACTGAGCCTGATCTGAGAAACAGAACAGCTGATCAGCATCAGTTCAATCAACTCTGGGTATGTTCAGCCTGAGAGAGGCGCGTTCACAACGAGCACTGAAAGACATCATCAGTGGAGTAATGTGATGGAGCCCAAACACACTGGGCACAAACTCAACATCAAACACACAGATATCAAACAGACTGGTAAAAGTTTTGTTTCTACTGACTTCATTCTGTCAATATTAGGCTGAGGTTCATTTAACTGCTGTGAAATGACTTCATGTAATCTCCTTTATTCTCACATGGAGCTATTATGGGATGTTGAATCCAATCAATGAGCCAGTTACACCAAGGAGTCTTTGAATATATGAAAAGTATTCATGAATCACTGCATCATGTGTCCACGTAGATTCATTTCTCATCAACACTGACAAACCTGCAGTTCTTTTATTAAACATTATTTTTTGGGCTTTTGTTGCCTTTAATGTCAGGACAGCATAACGTTATGGGGAGAGAGGGAACGACATGTAGCACAGGACAGCAGGCTGGGTTTGAACCCGCGGCCGCTGCGTCTGATCACGGGGCGTCCGCTCCATCCACTGAGCCACCGATGCTCCGTGGTAATTACTTTAATAATGGATTGTGATTTATGTCCAGGGAAAACCACAACAAGGGTCCAAAGTCTTTTCAGAGCCAGAGACACTTTTCTTACGGGCCGACAAACCGCTGTCTCTCTGATGTGTTCAGTGTCTCTGATGTTATAAAGAAAAGAATCAAAGGACAATGCATAAAATGTGCTGTGATGATAATGTAAATCCAGGATGTGTAATATGTGATATATGTGGGTGCTTAAAATGTGCTGAATTTAAAAAAACTACACAAAAGTGTGTGTGTGTGTGTGTGTGTGTGTGTGCGCACACACCTCCTCGTGCACACTCCATGTGCACTGCAGTGGTGGCTCAGGGGTGGAGCTACAATCAAAGCCCTTCCTGTGGAGGAGGAGGGCCACTTCCTGTGATGGACTTTCTGCTTCCTGTTGACCACAAACACAAATAAACATTTATTTGTTTTCATTGTTGATGTTTTCAGAGTTAAAAACAAACATGTTGGAGTTGTGTTGTGTGATCACTGGCTGGTGTGATGATGTGAAATAAATAAATAACATGGAGCCGACGCAAATAAATCACAACTTTTATTTCAAATGATAATTGTTTTGATTGTGCGACCTGCGAGTCCTCCAGCGTCCTCAGGTTCAGCAGGTGAACGTCACACGGCAGCGATGAGTGGAGCGGCAGGAAGGGGCGGAGCTTTGGCACCTGACTGTTGCTAGGGGCAACCATGGTGATTGGTGGGTGGCTGAGGGAGAGCGAGGTCAGGTGGGCGAGCAGTGACAGATGTTCAACTGAGGCTCCTCCCACTTCCTGTCACGGAAACAAGACAATAACAAAAAAAATAACCATAACAAAAAAAACAACAAAAAACAAGAACAAATGTAATTAAATAATAAAAAAGTAAAATATAAAATAAATAAAAACATAAACAGAAGAATTAAATCCCAAATGATTGTTGAGAGCCAATCAGAGTCAAGATAATCACAACGTGAGACGTGTCAGTAGCTGACTAATTGATTCATTCACTATGATGTCATCACAGGGGCAGGTTGTGCCCCGCCCCCTCACCTGAGGCCCGCCCCTCCTGTCCTCCAGCAGCAGGTTGTAGAGACTTGCTGTCAGCTTGTTGTCGGTGACGCCCTGACCGAGGCCGCGGTTATCGTCCTGCTGCAGCCGCCGGTCCAACACCACCTCCAGCTCACCTGCACAGGTCACAGGTCGTCAGAGGTCACAAGTCATCAGAGGTCATCAAAGATCACAGGTAACCAGTTGTCACAGTTCACAGGTCATCAGTTGTCACACAAGTCATCAGAGGTCACAGGTCGTCAGAGGTCATCAGAGGTCACAGGTCACCAGTTGTCACAGGCCAGAGGTCAGACTGAGGAGAAATTTCATTAACAAAAACAAAAAAGGTTCATCAGCAACTTTTTTTCGTGATGAAGAGACGCTGATGAGCTAAATATAGATCTTCAAAACTGAGAACATAACGAGATGTTTCTGAGCGTCAGACAGACGTGACAGTAAAACTTTTCAAAGAATCCTTTTTTATCCTTCTGTTCTCCTCTTGTCAGACACCACTGACCCTTTAGTCTCGTCAATGAAAAAGAAACACCTCAACATCTCGTCTTCCTCATAAAAAAAAGGTTGTTGACAAACATCTTCATCATAATTTTTGTAAACAAAATAACCACTGCTCACAACTGGTCCCTGAAATTGTTCAATTTAATTTGATGTTTTTCACTAATGTGAATTTTTGAGAACATTTTACGTACAAAAATAATTTACTTCATAAAATAAAAAACAAAACAAAAAAACAATTCAATGTAACTTTCATCAGTACCTCTGCAGCCCACTAGATGGCGTTGTGAGACCCGCCAGCAGGCCACAGCTCATCAAGATAAACTTGTAGGTGACACGCAGGAAGTCGGAGCGTTCATATTTTGAACTTGGGGCAGGAAGTGTTGGTTACCTGAATTACCAGAAGTATCAACCATTCATTTTTCATAACAACATATCTTGTTACGGGTCACAGGGGGCGGAGCCTATCCCAGCTGACACTGGGTGAGAGGCAGGGTTCACCTGGAGAGGTCACCAGACTATCACAGGACTGACACATAGAGACAGACAACCATTCACACTCACATTCACACCTACGGACAATTTAGAGTCACCAATTAACCTGCATGTCTTTGGACTGTGGGAGGAAGCTGGAGCACCTGGAGGAAACCCACGCTGACACGGGGAGAACATGTCAGAGCACCTGGAGGAAACCCACGCTGACACAGGAAGAACATGTCAGAGCACCTGGAGGAAACCCACGCTGACACAGGGAGAACATGTCGGAGCACCTGGAGGAAACCCACGCTGACACAGGGAGAACATGTCAGAGCACCTGGAGGAAACCCACGCTGACACAGGGAGAACATGTCAGAGCACCTGGAGGAAACCCACGCTGACACAGGGAGAACATGTCAGAGCACCTGGAGGAAACCCACGCTGACACAGGGAGAACATGTCAGAGCACCTGGAGGAAACCCACGCTGACACAGGGAGAACATGTCAGAGCACCTGGAGGAAACCCACGCTGACACAGGGAGAACATGTCAGAGCACCTGGAGGAAACCCACGCTGACACAGGGAGAACATGTCAGAGCACCTGGAGGAAACCCACGCTGACACAGGGAGAACATGTCAGAGCACCTGGAGGAAACCCACGCTGACACAGGGAGAACATGTCAGAGCACCTGGAGGAAACCCACGCTGACACAGGGAGAACATGTCAGAGCACCTGGAGGAAACCCACGCTGACACAGGGAGAACATGTCAGAGCACCTGGAGGAAACCCACGCTGACACAGGGAGAACATGTCAGAGCACCTGGAGGAAACCCACGCTGACACAGGGAGAACATGTCAGAGCACCTGGAGGAAACCCACGCTGACACAGGGAGAACATGTCAGAGCACCTGGAGGAAACCCACGCTGACACAGGGAGAACATGTCAGAGCACCTGGAGGAAACCCACGCTGACACAGGGAGAACATGTCAGAGCACCTGGAGGAAACCCACGCTGACACAGGGAGAACATGTCAGAGCACCTGGAGGAAACCCACGCTGACACAGGGAGAACATGTCAGAGCACCTGGAGGAAACCCACGCTGACACAGGGAGAACATGTCAGAGCACCTGGAGGAAACCCACGCTGACACAGGGAGAACATGTCAGAGCACCTGGAGGAAACCCACGCTGACACAGGGAGAACATGTCAGAGCACCTGGAGGAAACCCACGCTGACACAGGGAGAACATGTCAGAGCACCTGGAGGAAACCCACGCTGACACAGGGAGAACATGTCAGAGCACCTGGAGGAAACCCACGCTGACACAGGGAGAACATGTCAGAGCACCTGGAGGAAACCCACGCTGACACAGGGAGAACATGTCAGAGCACCTGGAGGAAACCCACGCTGACACAGGGAGAACATGTCAGAGCACCTGGAGGAAACCCACGCTGACACAGGGAGAACATGTCAGAGCACCTGGAGGAAACCCACGGTGACACAGGGAGAACATGTCAGAGCACCTGGAGGAAACCCACGCCGACACAGGGAGAACATGCAAACTACGCACAGAGAGACACCCCCCCTCCGGCTGCGAGGCGACAATGCTAATCACTTCACCCTCGTGCTGCTGTTAACTGAGTTACCAGAATTATCATCGATACCTAAAATCAATCCTCACACAATCATGTCAAACTTCAGAAGAATGAACAGACTTCCAGGTGAACAAAGACTCACCTGGTCTAAGAGACGCGACGGCCTGACTCTGAGCCGACAGCAGAGACAGACGAGACGTTGAATCCTGCAGGAACGCCGCGGAGCTCATCGGGTAAAAGTTGGCCTGCAGGGGGAGCTTCGACAGGGTCCGACGCTGCTGCATCTGCACCACCATCAATAAATAATTAATAAACCACATCATTGACCAGTGTGACATCATCAGACAGCATGACATCACTGAGCAGTGTAACATCATTGAGCAGCATGACATCATTGAACAGCGTGACATCATGGATGGTAACAATAAGAGCTGACGAACAGTGAATGAACCTGGAAACTGTTGAGGTCAGTGAAGAAACGGTTGCTGCTGGCGACGTTGCTGATGAGCCTCATGACAAGCTCACGGTTGACCTCTGACCTGATGTCTACCTTGTTGGAAATCTCCAGGGATCTCCCAGCATGCCCTGGAGTGGACCCAGACAGGAAGTCATTCAGTGCAATTAATGACATACAGTACAGGCCAAAAGTTTGGACACACCTTCTCATTCAATGCGTTTTCTTTATTTTCATGACTATTTACATTGTAGATTCTCACTGAAGGCATCAAAACTATGAATGAACACA